AGGAAAGGAAGGTCATGGGCTCTAGTCACTAATTCCCCAGACTATTTTGTCTACCTTTGGAGATCAAAAGGAAAGTGCTGGAGAGACCATCTCACTGTCTGCAGCGAAAGCCAAATCACACTATACAAAGAAGCGACAAACCCAGTTGCAAGTGATGTGTGAACCTGTGGAAGCGGTCCACGCGGGAATGTGATTGCCCAAACTGGCTGCCAACACTCACCAGTCTCCCGAGTGCCTGGAGCCCACTGTACCCTCTAGTTCAGAGGGAACCGGCTCACCGGGGGGGTTATTGTGATCCTTGTGCTGCTCCCTTCCCCACTTCCAATCTGCCCATACTTAACACTGCCAGAGAAACGACGACGACGACGGGGCGGCCGGCAGGGACTGTCAGTGATCGACAGCCAGATCCTCATGATCTGTGGTCCTCACGACCCCGGAACTGCTGGCGGTGACAGTTTGACACCTGAAGGGAGGGCCACCTCGACAGACATTGTTTCTAATTTTGATCAAATATCCCGATGAGCACAAGGTCTAAGATGTGCTCGAAACTTCCTCCTTGGTTCCTGCTTCACGGCGCTTCCCATTTCCCCATCTCCTGTCCTCATTTGTACATCCCTGCCATATTCTTTCCTGTCACCACGTTCATATTTATAGAAGCTTCATTTAAAATTACTTGCCTGGTATCTAGAGTCAAAGAGGAGGATGCGACACAAATCCCACAGAAAGACTTGTAACAGTCCAAGCGAGAAGTTCTTCTGTTTTCCCAACTTGCATGGGTGGAGCTGATGACTTACTTCTCCTTTCTCCTAAATCTTCATCATGCTTTCTAGTAGTGCCACTGCAGTGTCAGGGACAGGGAAAGATTACTTGTGTGCCGCAAGCAAGCCAAGGAAAGGGCACTGGGCACTACCCAGAGAAGGTGGCTGAAGTGAGTCACGTTAAAGAATGATGAGTCTTAGAGATCACAGACTAGCTCATTAGGAACGTGAGTGTGCTCTGGGTAAAGGGAAAAAGAAGCCGTGTCCTCGTTGCTGTCATCAGGCTGTCATTTCCTCGTGAAGTATCTTTTCCCAGCGGTCAATAGAGAACGGGGACTTCCGGTGCCAGCCAGGAGGGACTAAGTCGAGTTGGGCCTCCCTCTCCTTCCAATTATAATTAGAAACTCTCATCAAAACACAGAAAGCAACTACCTCTGGACCAGACACCACGGCAGGAGGGTTGGTGAGGAAAGCCACAGCAAAAGAACAAGGAGTGTAAGGCAGCAAAGTTGTGGGAGACCGAAGGCAGTATGACGTCATCGTTAAATTGTTGAAAGGGAAGAGCTAGCAACTCAGCTCTATTCACCACGCAAATAGCCTTCAGGAATCCGCGTAACATAAAGTCACTCTCAGATAAGGAATAACAAGACCGCAGTCCTAGGTATGTACCCAGGTGAAACGAAAGCCTACATTCACACAAAAACCTATACAGGAATATTCACAGTTTGTATTCTTAATGGCCCCAAATTGGAAACAAACCAAACCCTCCTCAGTTGGGGAACGGATACGCCAAGAACGTTGTGGCCATACAATGGAATACCACTCCGCAAGAAAGGGGAACAAATTACTGATACACACAACAGCACGGCTGAATTTCAGATGCATTATGCCAAAGAAGCCAGACTCAAAAGGATATGTACCCTTCGATTCCATCTATATGGCGTCTAGAACAGGCAAAGCTGTAGGGTTGGAGTGACTGTTGGGGGTTAAGGGTAGGGCAAGGATTTGACTATAAAAGAATAGCCCCAGGGGATACTTTTTTGCACCTGTGATATATCTTGAATGGAGTGGTAGTTATATGCCTCGATGCATTTATGAATCCTCGTAAAACTGTAACCAAGACAGTAAACTTCACTGTCAATTTTATATGTTAAAAAACACATTAAAAATAGAGAACTTGAAACCTTGATACATTTTTCCTAAGGAGACTCCGTGACAATTCAGTTATCTAACTGCGTGTACTGACATATTCATAAGCAGAAAATTGTACCCCCAATACAATGGCTAACAGCCAAGCTTTAATTGAAGCCTTTGTCCTAAAATGTTATTTGAAAAGAAAATCTACTTGGTGGTCACACATTTTGGGGGAAGTCCAAAACCTTCAGAACAGAACAGTACCACCCCTGTCCTCAATGTATGAATTTTGACATAAATATTTAAGTTCCTGCCAGTTAAAGAGGCCTTGGCAATTTCCGTATTACAAACACGGTTTGTATGGTCACAATCTTTACTTCTGACTTGGTGTTTAAAATAAATAGATACTATCATAACTGTTGCAACACACACGTGCATGCACACAAGCATATCATGATATTACTACTGCTCTCGTTTATTAAGGGGAACAAACAAAATCATGAAATTAAACCACACACTCGGCCTCGCTTCCTCTAACAGCGACCTGCCAAGTTCTTCTAATGCTGTACTGATTTATGCCCCGTGGAGACGGGCAGAGTATGAATGTCAGCAAGTTGAAGACCACGTTTTAACATACCCTGTCAAAGAGTGCGAAGAGTTGTCTCAAGACATCTGAAACAGGCAACTTTAAATACTCTGCAAATTCGTCAATTCCGATTCTTCCTCCTTTGGAACAACAGGCAATGGTTGCGTACTCGTCCAACTGCTTACGAATGCTATCCCAATCTAACCTAAGCAAACAAACAATCAGAGATGCGTGTTGTCAGCCCCTTACAATCCACAAGGACATTTTACGAACATTCGCTTGTCTGAGGGAAAAAATATCGTACATCGTTACATTTGAAAATGAAGATAAAATGGGTATTTTGGGATACCTATGGAACATGTATACAGGTTTCTGAGGGTTTTTTTTTTTCGTGTTTATTTATTTTTGAGAGAGAGAAAACAAGAGGGGGAAGGGCAGAGAGAGAGAGGGAGACAGAGAATCTGAAGCAGGCTCCGGGCTCCAAGCTGTCAGCACAGAGCCTGACACGGGGCTCGAGCCCACAAACCATGGGATCGTCATCTGAGCCAAAGCCGGACGCTTAACCGACTAAGGTACCCAGGCGCCCCCCAGGCTTCTGAGTCTTTTAAAGGATATCGGTAAGACTAATTTCCCCCAAATATCTGTGCAAAAGAAAAGTAACTGAGAAGAGCAATGTGACAGAACAAGAAATGACTCATGAAAAGAAAATAAGAAATCGTATTGTAATCCAAATATTACTAATTAAGTCAAAAGTACTTATTGAGTTGTTAAAAAAAAAAGACCACTCTTAATTTCTAAGGAGCTTCCAGGCTGATAATGAAGGCACATTTTACAAAATGTTGTGTCGGAGATTCATTAGATAGGACACACTTCCTCCGATGTTAGTTATAAAAACACTAAAACACCAGAAAACGTACCATAGCTCACAGCACATCTGCCTTTGTCTTGTACTACTAAACAGGTGACTTAACACATAACTGCTTTCTTCTGTATCCAATTTCAGTAACTATCTAAACTTTTCAAATTTATACGAATTTTGTAAATATAACATCAAAACATGTTTGCTATCTAGAAGATATAAATAATACTTGCTCTATTATCTTTAAATATTGACCTCTGGGGTGTCTGGGTGGCTCAGTCGGTTAAGTATCCGACTTTGGCTCAGGTCACGATCTTGTGGCTTGTGGGTTTCTGTGCTGACAGCTCAGAGCCTGGAGCCTGCTTCAGATTCTGGGTCTCCCTCTCTGTCTCTTACACTCTGTCCCTCTCTCTCAAAAATAAATAAGTATCAAAAAAATATTTTAAAAAATAAGTAAATATTGACCTTTAACACAATAACTGCTTCTGCAGCTCCCTCCTAAGGAGGATGCCAAGGCCAAGGGAATCAATACATTCTGCAAATCCCTAATAGGGCTGAAAACAGAGTGAATGGTAGTAAGTGGGAAACCAGGGGTGACACCTTTCATAGCAGATGGTTCAAATGGGTTGTTCATAAAAGCACAAAGGGGTGTTCTGGCCTTAAGAAAAAAAAAAGTATGTACCCAGAAGAAAAAGGAGATTGAGGGTAAGTACTTAAAATTCAGTGATGGTCAGAATTGCTTCTCTACAAGTCAATTCATTTTTCACACGAGAAGTTCTGACCACCGCATGCCAGTCCCATCTAATTACGCCATCCTTGCAAAGGGCAGCGGGGTAGGCTGACTGTTCTGAGACCCTTCTGGGCGGAGGCAGATCTGTGCTGGTCCATATCCACTCTCTCAGTCTCCTCCTGTGACCAACACATATGTCTCTGAGTTAACTGTCCTTGAAAAAACACAACTGGATGAACTAAATAGGAGATAAATTCACAAATCTGCCTTCCTTAATAAACACCATGGAGGTTCGAGAGCCGAGCATTAATGAAACCAGGGAAAATAAGTGTAGAGGAGTTCAGATCTCTTTGGGACACCTTTACAAAACTGTAGCAATTTAAAGGTATACTTACTTTAATTTCCGGCTAATTTTGGTAAATTCCACCAGCCCAGCTTCCATGGGCAATGTTAGCTGTCCTGCTGAGATCATTAATCTGCAGTCTTCATAGGTGTGGTCTGTTACTGGAATTCCCAAAGCTCTAAACAGCATTTCAAAGCAAACAAATTCAATTTTTTTTTTTTTTTTAAGAAAGGTAATGATTTTTTCATTAGGCCTGAGCTGGTGAACGAACAACAGTAAACAGGGAAGTATTTACTACTTTTTAAACCAGTAGCTTTGGCTTATTATTGCAAAAGAGACATATTTCTCTCCTTCTGCACACACTTCCTGGTTGTTTTGTGTTTTAACTGTGACAATAGTTGACTTCAGTCTCAGGGAAAGGAATAAGGCTTATGTTCCAGTCCGGTGGAGTCTTTCACCAGCTGTGGACCTTTTGGCTCTTAACCTAAGCCTCGCTCTTGTCATCTGTATATAGGAATAATTACCCTACTTACTCTACAGGGTTATCTATTGTAAAGATGGGCCAAAAATGCCTGTGGGAGTACCATTTGAACAGCTACATTTGTCTGTACACAGTGTAAGTGAGTAATCTACCCAAATCGCTAGCCATCTGCGTTTTTCCATCTCTCGAAACTGGAGATGACTTCTTGCTACATAATCTTCTGAAAATACTAAAGAGAACTGATAATAAGCTCAAGATTTCTTCCAAACCTAAACATCCTCCACCCTCGAAGGAGCACATAACCCCTACTAGCTCCCTCCTGCTCAGAGATCTGATAATGAATTAGATTGGAAATATATATATATACACATATATATATACATATATATATACACATATATATATACATATATATACATATATATATACACATATATATACATATATATATATGTATATATATAATGACTTGAAAAAAAACTGAGTACTGAGAAGAAAGCCTGGCCAGAACATGAAATAATTTCCTGAAGATTCCTCTTCACAAAACTTTCATTCACAAATATTCAGTGAGACTCATGAAGTTAGATCTTCAACGGTATTTGGTTTTGTTGAATCACCGTGAAGAACGTGACATTTTCAATGAATGGGATACGAATAAAGTATTTTTTTCTATCTACAACTAGGCTATTTTTGATGAGTAAACATTCTGGTATAAGAATACGTAAGTGGGAAAATAAACATTTTAACTATTTCAGGAATGTATAATTTATCATGCTCCATGGGTACAGCATGCTCGTTAAGAGCTTTTGGGTTTGGGTAGCAAGTGGGGATGTGAGTCCCAGCCCAGACCCTCACTGTCTGCTATGATCTTGGGCAAACGACTTCCCGCTCTGAATCTCAGGTCCCTCGCTTGCCTCCTAGAAGTGCTGTGAGGGTCACGTTAGCTACCCAGAGTAACAGCCTGGCACAGTACTCGGTAAGTATTTATCAAGAGTAGTAGCACCACCACTTTACCACTTTCAAATGCTTCTGTCATACACTCTCCTAGGTGACCCTCAGGATAACCAAAACCATCAGCGAGGAGAGACGAGTATTCTAACTCCAACTTTACACGGGAGGAAAAGGACCCCTCGAGGGACTTGTCTGTCCATGGCTGTGCAGCTAATGGAGGTCCTTCCTACTCTTTATCCAAGACCCTTAAATCTCCACGGCTCCGAATTCAGAAAAAAACCAAAACGGCTGCCTAATCAAATCCCTGCTCTGTTTTTAGGCAAATTATTGGGAGGTCAAAATACCTGGTATAAATTCCCTCCATTCCCCAAATGTATCTTAGTTCCTAACTTTTGGACATGAGCTCCTATGAAAACATAAGGAGAAAGGGAAGAAAACAATATAAAAGCAGATTTTGTAGCTAATCTAGAAACTGGGAAAATCAAGTACCTATAGGTACACATAGTAAAATTTTTTTGAACATTTGAAAATTTATTGTTTTGAAAATAAAGTTCTTCTCCTGTGAAATATTAATATATATATAATATATACGTAATAAAAAATATAATCTTGCTTATAATACCAAATTCAGTCATGAAGCTGAATTCAGAGTTCTCATTTGAATGTTTACTGGGGATAAATATCGCCGGCCTATGAGCGTCAACCCTCCTACCGGAATGGCGGAAAGAGGTGGCACCTGGCATGAGGGTGAGCACCCCGTAGGGCTGCCTGGGAGGTCGGACAGTATGACATGCATGCTTTCATTACAGGACGGGAGGAGATTGATCTAATCAGAGTGATGGGCAGCTACAACTCCCTTAAGCGCAGGACAATACTTGCCTCCCGTTTTGCGATTTACAAATCCTAAACTTATAGCCATTCCAAATGGGGGTGACTCCCCCCCGTTTCTGTGCCTCCATTACGTTCCCTTGCAAACTTCCTCCTTTTTGTTGCTGTATTCATTAATGCCTTTGAAACACCCAGCGTTGGCAGCTCTGTGGAGGCTGGGCCATAGGAAGCGGACCATGAAGGGCTCAGACCGTCACAAGGCTTTGTCAGACAGCCACAGGCCAGCTTAGGAGAACCCACCCCGTGGAAGTCACTGGCTGCTCTCTTCTGGTTATTGAACCCTCCCTGCTCCCTTTCTGGCAAAGACACATAGCCATTAGTTTGGGGCTGCATCTGGGGAAAATATTCGTAGATTGTTTTACCACATTCCCGGGCACATTTAGAATTTCTAACCAGAATGACTTAAGAAATGAGACCCTCGGAATTAAAAAAACAAAAAACAAACAAACAAACAAACAAACAAAAACAAATCCTAAAACTATATAAAAACCATATATTTACCAATCATTTAAAAACTATTTATTGTTACGATGATATATAGAAACTCACTCTGCCATTAGACTCCGGACTCTACAGGCAAAAAGGATGGGATCGCTTTTTTCTTCATCATTTGGTACTTGAACAGGCATAAACTGAAAGACAAACATACCTTTCCATTACAACTGTTAAGCCTAAGCATTGAATGTTACATACATTAATTTATAAGCTGTCTGTCATTATATCAAATCCCCCACCTTCCTGGCGCATGGGTTACATGCTAGACGGGGAACAACACTGTGTGCCACTCAGCGGATCCGTAGTCAAGCCCTGGGTCTTTTTCTGTGTGTTAACTGGTAGGTCTCTGGAGTTTTCTTCACTGTTGCCTGGACCCTAACAAGAGGGCTGTGATCGCCCACTCACTTCAGTGCGATGAGGATGAAAGAAGCCAGTGCCTGGAATATTCTGGAAGTTGTAAAGCTGTAGGTTCTGAGATCTTATTCTCCAAGCTGTACCTCCTACCACTTCCAGCCCTTTGTGTGAAAATGTTAGTACCAGAAGTAACCTGTTTCTTATGATTTATCTTCTCTACCCACGCCTGTGTCAGCCATATTTTTATCATTTGTTCAAATGTCACGCTTTGCATTTCTTCTGCTCTCTTTTAACCCTTAGCATGGGCTTTCTAGCTTCTGCAGAGTATCATGTGTTATCATTTTAAATTTTACTTTTTTTTCTCTACTTGATATTCTGTAATGTCTCACTTGTACTGTTCTTGTTTTATTTACAGTTTTCTAACATTTAACAAGATTTTGGTGCTATATTGAACCCATTGCATATTTTTTGAGCACCTACTATATACCAGGCAAGATTAACAGGACTCTATTCCTGCTCCAAAAAAGATCTGTATTTTACTAGGATAGACCAACTAATTTAGGTTCAAGTTATAAAGGTCACATGACCAGGACTCAGCCCAAGTCCTATCAGATTCTAAAACCCTTGTTTTCCCCACTCAACCATCCTTCCTGGAGTATGAGAGCAAGGGATAGGAAATGATTAATTTGGCAGGGGGCAGGGAAAGGCAGCCAAAGAAGCTTTACAGAGGAGCTAATACTTGATCTTGGCTTTTTAAGGATAAACATGATCTCGCCAATAGCTACTGTTCATTGAATTATAACTATGGACCAGGCACCGTGCTAGGGGTTTTATATGCATTATTTTCATTCCACCAGTCCTCTTGATTTTAGTCACAGGATTGGGACTCACATTAAAAGACGTGCTTAAGACTTCATGGCCCATTTTCATTCAATAAATATTGCTGAGGCACCTCCTGTATGCCAGGCATTGCACTAAACCCAGAAGACAGGACAGCAAAGCCCCTGCCCTCAAGGAGCTCTCCATGCGGTGGGGTAAAAGTTATGACAGATGAATGCAGTCTACCAATGAGAGCTACCATCCACTAAGCACGTACCATAGCTGGGTATGTGCCGGGTACTGTATATGAGGGGCTTTACAAGATCAACTCTCCACAATTCCTTGAGGTCAGTTCTACCACTTGCGCTTGACGGGCGAAGAAAGTAGCTTGAAGAGGTTAAGACCACACACCAGTGACAGGATCACGATTTGAAAGAGAAAGGAGACTGTATAAAGAACACCACTTTTGGACTCATGTCGACCTGTTTTCAAATCCTGTTAATCACGTCAAGAAGCCTTTGGGCAAGGGTGATTCAGAGATGAAGTGTGAGCCAGGGGCTGTGGTGACCAGGTCCAAGCTTTTGAGCAGAAACATTGGTTGGTAGGAGTGGACAAACCAAAGAGGAAAAGGCTAAGAGCAGGGAGAAGCCCTGGAGGGTCTGGAATCACCCCGTGAGAGAAGGAAAGACCACGAACAGAGGGAGTGAGGGTACAGAGGCAAGCTTGGATGCAAATGGTACGGGAGGAGAAACTGGACAGGAATCGTAGGACCGTGCGCTAGGTGACAGTGACCGCCATTGACCGCTATGTGACACAGCCTCTCCCAGGGGACGGTGGCATGCTGTGCAAAGAACACTGTTTCGGCTGCTTGCTGTCTTGTTTCTGCCGTGGGGTCCCGGGAAAGTCATTCAGCCCTGATGAGACTCAGTTCCCCCTCTTGTCAAGCGAGGAAGTTCGACTCGATGTTCTCGAAAGCCCTTTCCAACTGGAATTCGACGGTTAGCTTTCCACTTAGGATCGTTATTCTTTAAGATGGAAAAACACGCTAAGCCACCAGAGGTCCCCACATCACTTATGTATCCAGAGCAACATCCGATCTTTGCAGATAAATCTTTCTCAAGTGTCCCTCCATCCTGTTCTAGATGTGAATTTCTTATGTGTGCTTAGTAGGAAATCCAAGGAAGAAAACAGGACGTTAAAAATCAATGTTCATAAAACCTCTAACAAAAGAATACAAAAACGTTTTAAATTGCCATATAATTCTTCACTTTAAAAAAAAAAAAAAGCCACACAATCATTTGACACACGCTTAATCTGTAGGTCATAAAAGCACATCCTTGAAAACCCTGAAAAATAAATTATGGCTACACTGTTAACCAAACATAATACGACGAACTGTGGGTTTAATTCCTTTTACTGCAGGTAATATTTTCTGTGAAAGAATTTTTAATAACTCTCATATTGGCATGGCATTTTATTCTCAATGAAGAAAATCCCACTGAGAGTACAAAATAATTAAAAGCCTGTATTTGACCCACACGGGCCTTGGAGGCCTCCCATGCCTCCTGAGAAGCAATTCAATGGAAATTCTCGTAAGAAGTCACTTCTCCTTGGAGCGGACCTAGCCCTCTTTAATACATTTCCATTTTGCATGTAGACATTCAAGGCTCACAGCATATATGGGTCCTCTATGCGGGTAGGGAGACTGGCTGAAGACAGAAAAATGTGATTGTTGTTGTCTGCTACTGTCCCCTAATACACAGCTCAATACTGCAGGGTCTTCAGGACCCCAAATTTTCTTTTCTACCTTCACCTTCTCTCACCATCCCGAGTATCCACATGGACGGTTCATCAGACATGTTGATCTCACGGCTCTCCACCTGGCCACAGGTGTTCTCAGCTGTGCCTCAGCCAGGGCGACAAACATAGGACGCTAACCTTCTCTGGAAAGTTCTTCCATGAGAATTTCCCTTCGTCGCCTATTAGCTTTTACTTCTCTAACCTGGTCCGGCACAGACTGTAAGGACCTGCTGGTGACCCTCAGGACACGCTTGTCCCTCCCTTCCCGGCAACAGCTGCCTGCCTGTCCCCACTGCCCTTCAGGAGTCAGACACCTCCATGTGGACTTTCTGTCATCCGGAATCTCCCCCTTCTGCCACACCCATGGCACCAACCACATACCCATGATCACCTCTCCTGCTCCTGCCTTCCCATCCCTGCTAGAGACCACTGCGGGATGCTAAAGAAAGGTGCACAATCTTACGGGCTGAGGCTCCTCCGATCCATGGGAAGCTCCACAGGGTCCTTACAGCTGCTTGAAAATTATGTGATTTTCCCCAGGTGACCATACCGCCTCCAGACTCAGAAACAGTTTTGTTTTGCTGAAGGTCTTCCCTTTTCCTTTTAATCATGCAAGTGTGCCCCCAAATGTGATCTCAATACTGAGTCTGTTTCCTTAGTGTCTGTGTGACAGGTGAGGATCAAGTTACTTAACATGAACCTCACTGCGGCTTGGATATCTGTGCTGCACCTGCTGCTGTCATATCTAAATGTTTCAAACACAGTCTGTGCTTCTCAGGTTGCAGTCCTACTTTTCTTTTTTTTTTTTTTAATTTTTTTTTCAACGTTTATTTATTTTTGGGACAGAGAGAGACAGAGCATGAACGGGGGAGGGGCAGAGAGAGAGGGAGACACAGAATCGGAAACAGGCTCCAGGCTCTGAGCCATCAGCCCAGAGCCTGACGCGGGGCTCGAACTCATGGACCGCGAGATCGTGACCTGGCTGAAGTCAGAGGCTCAACCGACTGCGCCACCCAGGCGCCCCGCAGTCCTACTTTTCATCCCAATGGTACTTCAAGCTCAACTTTAGAAGGAAGACAGTGAAAGAGTTAAGGACATGCGACCCCAAAACATACCGCTTTGGTATACTGATTATTTTGAGCTGAAGGCACTTGGAAAATAGCCAATGTGGGGAGACGTTTTCTCTGAACTTCCCTTACCTCCCTAAAGTCAGCTACTCCGAAAGGAACTCTGTCCCTCATCTGTCCTAAAGTCCCTCCTGGGGAGTTTCATCCAACAGGGAAGATGGACTCTTACTGCAGGTGACACGACTGGAATTCGACATCACACACAGACAAACGTGATCACACGCTATCATAGCTCCCAGTCTATTCTTCCCAGGGCCCACCAGTCTTTCCTAAAAACCACTGACTCTCCCCTGCGTGGCCTACCCCCTCCCTCCCCTTCCTCACTACTTTTTGTGGTATCCACTTTTTATTCCCCATGATGCCTTGCACACATATTAAAAATGAATAGATGTGTGTATCCTTTCTCCTATTAATCTGCCCGCCATGAGATTATCTCACAGATCCAGCTATGGAACCTCGGTGGGGAGACGGCAGGCACTGCCTCCCCACAACAGCCCAAGTGAGCTTCCCCAGTTTTTTCCCATTGCTCGCGAGACTGGCTCCGGGCCTCGCTTCAATGTGCTCTGTTCCTCCCCCCGCAGGCTCAGCACCACCCTGCCCCATCTAAGGGGAGGCTAACCGACATATTTCCCATGCTAACACCTCATTTGTCCTGCTGGTCTGGGAGTGCCCTACCTCCTCCGGGGCCTTAGGCTGCACGCAAGATAAAGTCAGAATTCTTCAGCCCATTTTGAAGGCGATCCGATATCCAGAGCCAACCCTTTACATGGCTACTCAGGCCCAGCAAAACTGCCTTATTCATTGTTTCCTGACCACGTGGGGCACATTCCTTTCTACTAAATGGACCATCGTGAAAAAGAGAAAGACTGATGAGTGACGATACTACAATCAGTCTTTTCTTCTTCCAAGTAACAGGAAAGGACTTTAACGAATCACTCTCAACAACCGTGGAGTTCTGGCTCTTCTCGTGATTCTTCTTTGAAGTCTTCAAGAAAGAGCAAATGCGAATCAAGGAAGGCATTTACGAACTAACATTCGCTGCTTTCTTCCCTGAAGAACAGAGACATTTAGAGGATAAGGGAAATACAAGTGAATGCTTATTGAACGCCTACCACGTGCTAGTACGTAAGTAACCTTACTAAATGCTAACCACCCTATAAAAGAGGTGCCATTATCCCCATTTTACCACTGAGAACACAGGCTAGGAGAGGCTTAAGTCATTCACTCGAGCACATACAGGTTGGTAGCAGCAGAATTGGAAGAAAACCCCAGCTGATATTCTTTATATAACATTCTATTTCTTTTTTAAAAAAACAATGTTTATTTATTTTTGAGAGAGAGGCAGTGTGTGAGCAGGGGAGGGGCAAAGAGAGAGGGAGACATAGAATCAGAAGCAGGCTCCAGGCTCTGAGCTGTCAGCACAGAACCCGATGCAGGGCTCAAACTCACGAACCGTGAGATCATGATCTGAGCCAAAGTCGAACGCTTAACTGACTGAGCCACCTAGGCACCACATACAACATTCTACTTCTCTGCTACTACTTAGAAATTTCAGAATTCTACCGAGTTCCAGAAGAAATTAGCTTTGTTAAAACAAGCACATATATAGGTTTTATGTGTGTGTGTGTATTTGTGTGATAGAGGTTTTCTAAAAGGCTTCTTTGTTTTAGATTCAAAACTACAAGTCATATGAGTGTGTTTGGATAATTAAATAAACTACATAAACATATCTGAACCTTCCCTAAGTAATAAACTCTTTGGAGATTTGAAAAGTTGTATTGGGGCGCCTGGGTGGTTCAGTTGGTTAGGCGTCCGACTTTGGCTCAGGTCATGATCTCTCAGTTCGTGGGTTTGAGCCCCGCGTTGGGCTCTGTGCTGACAGCTCGGAGCCTGGAGCCTGCTACGGATTTTGTGTCTCCTTCTGTCTCTGTTCCTCCCCTGCTCACGCTCTGTCTCTCTCTCTCTCAAAAATAAATAAAGATTAAAAAAAATTTTTTTAAATAAATAAAAAGTTGTATCTATCTACAGGGGTTGGTCATAACACTCACTATTACAATCCTTTCCAAAATCAGAATTGTTTTTTTAATAGAAAAACAATGATCTTCTCTTACTTGTGACAATGGACTGCCCACCATAAAGTACTGTAAGTCCAATTTTAGTTGCTAGAAGCTTGCTCTAAGCTTTGCAAAAGAATTTACTAAAACAAAATGTTTCTGTCTGCCTACAAACATTTTTCTGTACCTGTATTATAATGGATAGCTCTGAATAAAAATAGAGATGTAACCTATGAAGGAGGAAACAGACTGATGGTCACTGTGAATGCCCCGTTTCCATTCATAAAACAGCTGCTGTCCACATAGTGCCCTATAATCTGGCTTTGCATGGATTCTCTTTCATGAGATTCACTAGCAGGCTGTTGATTTATGTCACATTTGGGAATGTTTCCTACCAGCTATCTTCTTCCCTATGCCCCTAAGCCAGATGCTTATAAAGACATACGTGTGAGGTAGCTGGCCAATAAAAGTAACCACTCAAAGACAGTTTAAACACATCCACTATGCCACTATGATCCAGAGAATAACTTTCAGGAGAACCTTCTGCGGACACACATGGCATCATTGTTCAAGGATGCCGGAAGACCAATTATAGAGGGTGTGAGGTTTGGACCTGATTGTATTTTTAAGACTCAAGAGTCAAGGAAATAATGGCCTTTTCAAAAGCAAGTCTCTGTTGAGAAAGCAGAGAGGGAGTGAGGGGAGGAGACATTACACTCCCTAGGTGTTAGCTATCCAATGGTTTCGGTAACTACAGAGTTGGAAAATCATCATCAGTGAGGAGTGAGTTGTAAAAGGAAAGAATACAGCCTTCAGCATCCAGAGATGTCCTATGACTCACCAGCGCGGTGTCTAAAAGGATACCAAATGATCCACTCAAGTTCATTTTAAAAACTGCAAAACTTGGGGTGCCTGGTGGCTCAGTCGGTTAAGCTTCTGACTTCAGGTCAGGTCATGATCTCACGGTTCATGAGTTCGAGCCCCACATCGAGCTTGCTGCTGTCACTGTAGAGCCCGCTTTGGATCTTCTGTCCCCTCCTCTCTCTGCCCTTCCCCTGCTTGTTCTCTCTCTCTCTCAAAAATAAATAAACATTAAAAAAATAAAAAATAAATAAAAATAAAAACCGCAAAACTTAAGACCACATTCTTGAACGGTACATCTTAATTAAGCTTAACTGGTTACTAGAAGTTCTAAAGTTCTAAAAACATATGTAAAAAATAATAACTAGGATCTCCATCAGTTGTAATGAACATGGACGCTGGGAGGGGGTGCTTCTGAACAACCAACACGACTGTAGTTGGCACAACTAAACACGCCGAGCCTTCTAACTAAGCTACATGTGTGGCAGCTCAAGTCGGGCATCCCCAGATGTGGTGCAGAAGCCGGAGTCTTGACACAGCGCCCAACTCTCCAGGGCCCTGAGCCAGGGTGTGGACACAGAGAGCACCAGACAGGCTGTGGGATACATTTTTCAATTGTGCCCAACCGGGGGGAATTAAAATATTCAAAAGTCATAAAGTGGTGAGAAGTCCCCAAGGTGAAAGGTAGCATCATGAATCTAAAATAAATATAATTAAAATAAGACTACATGTGAAGGCCACAGAGTCCCATCCTCTCGCCCTGCACCACAATTCAAACACATTGAATCTTACCAGCTCAGCTATTCTAAACCAGGTGCTAGCCATTTTGTTTGTGAAGTTATCAAAGGATATATTCTTTCTTTGCCAGCAAATATTATTCAAACAGGTCTAAGAACTGGCTGGAGAATGCAAACACTGTAATGGAAAAGAAGGAAGGAGGGAATAAAGGGGGAAGGGAGGGAGGGAAGGAGGGAGAAAGAGAGAAAGAGACAAGAAAGAAAGAAAGAAAGAAAGAAAGAAAGAAAGAAAGAGGAAGGAGGGAAGGGAAGGAAGGGAGAGTGGAAGGGAGAAAGAAAAAAAGAAAGAAAGAAAGAAAGAAAGAAAGAAAGAAAGAAAGAAAGGGAAGGAAGGGAGAGTGGAAGGGAGGGAGAGAGGAAGAAAGAAAGAAAGAAAGAAAGAAAGAAAGAAAGAAAGAAAGAAAGAAAGAAAAAAGGAAGGAAGGGAAGGGAAGGAAGGGAGAGTGGAAGGGAGGGAGAGCAGAAGGGAGAGAGAAAGAAAGAAAGGAAGAAAGAAAGAAAGGAAGAAAGAAAGATAGAAAAGGAAAAAGGCCATGACACAGAAAGGAAATGTGGTAATAATGGTCAGGACAAAAAAATGAGGCCTTTGCATACCTCTGTTGTAATAGTTTGACCACTGAGACATGTGCTAGACAGTTCTAGGTGCATTTCCACATCTGTTGCTAGATCTTGTTTTAGCTGGGGAAGGGTAAATTTAGAGGAAGGGGCAGCATATATATTATATAAACAATATCTTCCCATTTTGCAGAGAAGACAGGGTGGGTGTTTTAAGTATAAGTTTTCCTTCCTCCCTCCCTCCCTCCTTTCCTTCCTTCCTTCCTTCCTCCCTTCCTTCCTCCCTTCCTTTTTTTAGAGAAAGCAAACAGAGCTAGTCTATCTGCACAGCTATGAAAGATGGAAGAGCACGCTTGGAGTACTTAGAAATAATATAATATTTCTTCCTGACAGGGCTTCCCAAAATATATCCTATGGAACACCGCTTCCAGGAGGTATCCAGAGAAAAAAGGATATGGTGGTCACATCATCTCAAAGGCACTGACAGGTCTTGAGAAAAAGAAATCTGATTGATTTTATTTACACTGGTATTTCTCAAACTTATTAGAGTACAGATTACTGTTTTTCTCTAGAAACATCTAAGTATATTCTAAGAAGTAGTGTTTTTTTGATCACATTGAGAGAGACTGAACTGGTTTTAAAGGGGGGGAAGTGTGGCATACAATGAATAAATAGATCGTTTCCTGGCAAGCAGACAACCTGTAAGTCTCCAGAAAAATTTTACCAAAGTGAAACTCATTTCGAAATGCAATTTGCCCCCTACATCATTTGGTATTTCTGACCTTTATGTGGCTAAATGACTAAGCTATACAACAACAAAAAACCAGTATTCTTTTGACTTAAATTCCATGTCCTGTCACTGGGAGCATGGGCCCCCACTCAGGACTCCGAATTAACATATGCAAACTTAGAGTTCTCATTGCACAATCTACGGATGCAACTGGAAAATGAAGGCAAGAGCCTGACTCGCTCTTCGGACCCTTCTCTCTTCAGAGGCTCCCTGAGGGTATCACTAGAACCAACTCTACTGACTCTGTATTTATGAGTCCATTCCTCATCATTGCTAGCATCTAAGAACGGTTCTGGAACCATCGTTCAGAGTCTTAAAAATCTGGCCAGGATTTTCAGAACCATCTAATCGCTCCCGCACTCCCTGCCTGTCTCTGCAACTCAAACCCAAAGACGGCCAAACCAGACCAAAAGAATGCTGACATGCGCTGCCTCCCAGAGAGGATTTCCTCAGGCTTTCCAGGTGCAGAGTGAGTCCAAAGTGAGGGCTTCTGACGTCTGTGCCTCTCCCCAGAGTCCAAGTAGCACCTCTCCGCTCTGACAGAACGTACTCTTCCAGGAGCTGTGGGGCTCCATCGGCTACTGTATGTAGCTCCTTTTGTCAAGATGTGAAGCATACCATACCGTTCAACCGGGCAGAGGTCAGCATTGAAAGGAGGATGATAGAAACCAGTTATGCAAATCTGGTCAGCCAGGGTGGTCGCCTATGAAAGTTCCCGGAAGCCAGAGGTTTTTCCTGATAGGATTCCAAGGGCTGGATCTGACAGCCAGGTGGACAGTTTGTAAAAGACCAGCGCCTGTTTTAAAGATGGCGGATTTAACTGCCAACCTTTGTACGGTGGGGCTCTCGAGACTAGAAGTGCAAAAGAAAAGGAAAGGCCAAATCTCCAGTTCCAAGACTGTTTTTGAATGACTTACCTCAACTTCCACCTTTGTGAAGAGCTGGCAGAAAGTGAGCATACAGAGCTGAATGCTGAGGAGAAAAAAGAACAGGCCATCTTTATATGGTAATACAAGTATCATCTATATCACCCGACGATCCTTTCTTTATAGGCAAACACTGCCACGTCATACTTCATATATATATTTTGTGCTTATGAATGCCACACGGCAGCTCTAACACTCCTTGGGCTTAAGCAAGTATTCTTGATATTCCAAAGTTAAATCACCAAGTACAACACCAAATATGTACTTGTGAGTCAGAGCTGCAGCTCGGCAGACTAAACCCCAAATGTGAAGTCTCCTTGACAACTCAGGCTTGTAGGCCTATGAGCCTAGAGAAACTACCAAGGCCACATTTTAAGGTACATAAATGTGCTTATAGGAAAACTCCTGAAGTAAACATTACATTTCGAAACTCTTCTCTGATATTAAAAAAAACCCAAAAAACAAAAAACAGTGGGCCTTTCCCTAAAAGCAGAAACTTTATCATAATTGTCCCAATTAATAATCAATATTTTATTTAAGGAGAAATTTTCTGAAATGTTTCAAATTTCATTGTAAAACCAGATAAAGGCTTTCTTTAAAGCGGTTAAAGCCAACCCTCTCAAAGATAATTTCTGAAATAGTTGTTTCTATGTACCTTTCTAATATATATTTAGATTCTCTGGATAGGATTTCTATGGGATTTTTATTTCACCTCATTTAGACAGATGACCCAAAAATCTGGCAGAGTGGATTATACTACATGAAAGAAATCAACCAACCTTTTTTTGTGTTTAAGAAACTAAAATATGATTTAGCTATAAAAGTTATTTAAAGGGGCTTACTTAAGAAATTTAGAAATTTAGACAAGGAACTTAGTTAAAAGAAGGAATTTAAGAAATAGATGTACCAATTCCGTATATAATTATAAGTTGTTAAGTATTGGTTGTCAAACTTCGCATCTGAGAGGAAAAAAAACTTTTACTATTAACCCCAAGCAAATAAAATCAATCCACATCGTCTACTATAAAGTAAATTGTCCCTGAGTTATTTAAATTGAACTTTTGAATTTGGTGATTCACACAGACAAATCTGTTCTGAAAATTCTGAATGCTGGAAGGAAGGAAGGAAGGAAGGAAGGAAGGAAGGAAGGAAGGAAGGAGGAAGGAAGGAAGGAAGGAAGGAAGGAAGGAAGGAAGGAAGGAAGAAGGAAGGAAAACGAAACAAGCCAGGCATAAGATCTCATGGAACCTGTGTTGTCCAAACAACACTTCTCAGACCCACACAAAATGGCTTTTCCATAGCTGCCCTTTCTCTGAGTGTATTCCCCAAGTTTATGAACTCTCTCCCTTAGGCTGCCTGTCTTGGTATAGAATCTCTTCCTTAGAATCTGAGTCTAGACTAGCCCTTGGAGCAGGAGCAACTGAGAAAACTGGCTTAAGAGTAACAGATTCAGTGCTAAATATGGTATGAAGCCCACTGGAAGATTCGGGCAGAAATGAGAGTTACCACAGGCCAAGCACAATGCGGCATTTGGACAAAACAAAGCTGTGCCTTTTAAAGATTTTGTGTTTATCACTCCTAAGAAATCTTTAACTCCTCAAAAAGTGTTTTCCTCTCTTTTCTGAATTCTCTCTCCTATTTTCTTCTTCCCTTTGTCACACTTGTTAGAAGGCTGGTTTAACCAGAACACTCCATTTTCTATCCTGATCCCCCTTCCAAGAAGGCCTTCTCCTACTTGACCTTCACGCCTACCTGGACTGCTGAAAAAGTTTGAAAAAGCCATACTGAGCGCACTGTGAATCTGAAGTCACTATCTCTGCAAGGCACTTAAATTGTCAGGGTCCTAAGGATGGCACAACTCAGGAACTATAAAGACACACTATATCCAGTTTGTAGGCACTCCTTTTTCTAAAATACTCTCACACTATTTGTTTCTTCTCACTTGCTCTCGTATAAAAAGCTGAAAACCAGGAACCCAAGATCAACAGTGGCACAAAACACGTATTCTAGCCAAATAAATAAACTGATTTCCTGAAGAGTTAAAGACCACATAATGCCTAGATATTCTTTACAATTTGTGGTCTTTATTTTGAGTGTCGTTTACTTAACTTCAACTATGGAGGACTGAAGCGTAATAGGAACATACATGTTTCACATGTTAATAAACACTAACACATGTGAATGGCCCATCAGTTACCTATTCTGATTTAAATTTATTATTTTGATGCAATTCACACATACAAAATGGAGAAAATTGGCATGCACCATAAAAGAAATCTGACTTTCATACATTGTTTGGATTATCTAAGAGGTATGCAAGGAAGTTACAAGATACTTGAAGGTGAATGAAGATTCCCTTTTAAATAGGTCCAAGGGGTTGTCTATGCATCGACAACATTATGTAAACTCTCTATGTAATAGTATCAAAAGGCATTGCTGGGTAAGCCCCAGGCAAAGTCCTCACATCCAGGCATTTTACATGGCTCTCACCAAATATAAACCAGCTCAGACTTATCCAGGGGGATCTCGACAACAACGTCTTGAGAGAAAGTACGATTGTACATGCTCTGTTCTTTTTAAAGGCCTGTTTCAATGCAGCTTGCTTAATGGCGAGCTGTATTCCTCTCCTGTCTTAAATGTTTATAGAAACTGCTGATCCCTCTGCTTTTAAAATCCAAGAACGGAACTGAGAGCTTAGCTATTTTCTCAGCTCAGATCAGACACATCACAGCTATTTTAGGCCATATGACGCAATGACTCCGGACTGCTTAAACCGATATAGTAAAACAACAATGGAGACACCAGATAACATGCTAAATCTGCAGTGGGAATAAAACTACAAGATTAAAGCTAAGTAGGGTACAAACTGGGTCACTGGACTGTTTCTTAAGGATTGGTAGCTACACACGTGAGACCCGCAAGAACACAGCAGACAGCCAGAATTCTGCACGTGGCCGGCGCTGGGGGCTAACAGGAAAGATAGTGATGCTCTCTACAGACTTTCTCCTTTACAAGATTCTAGGATCTGATTAGAAATCTTTACTTTTACAAAAACAAGGCTTTTTTTTTTTTAAAAAAAAGGAATAAATAATTTGTCTTTTTCTTCCCTGAACAAAATTTATATAAACCAATAATAGAAGCAACTTACAATGTATATCCTTGCCATGTCCACGTCACGGTATCCTACAATAACAAAGGTGTTTAGACTGTTAGTTCAGAGAAAAAATAAAAGCTAAATAAAATCAAAATCTTATTTTCATATTGGTACTCATGTACGTCCCTGCTGAATTAAAAGCAGTATGTTGAAAAGTAAAACAAGCCTATTAAACGACAGCAAATTGCTCTATGAATTCTTGGATTATATCTCTACATGGCAAAAATCTCTTTTCTATACGTAGCCACCTATCTTTTCAGGAAATGAAGTTGCTTTTAGTTCTTAATAGAATTCTGAGCACGCTTAGCTATTTTTTCTCCTAATGTGAACACATCTGGATAATTAATTTGCTTATAAAGCCCAGAATATATCAGTTCCCCAAAAAAAGGGAGGGGTACATGCTTGGGAGAAAAGATTAGAGTAGTACATAGTGAAAGGATTTACATAAATGCCAAATAGGCAGAAGTACAATTAAGTAAATCTTGATAGATATTAATTTTTTAACTAGGGGGTGTCCAAAGGTGAGAAGACAGCCACTGAAAGGAAGTTGAATTGATCGAGAACTCTTGATCTTAAGTGACACAGATAATGAATCATTACATTCTGCTTGTTCATGGAAAGTCTCTAGTAGAGAAAGTTCCTCTCAAGACAAAACAGACTCCAAAAATTCTTTCTTTAGGAAAACGGTGGCACAATAATATCCAGAAGACAGCGGTGTGCCCAGCTGGAGTGGAAGTCCCTGTTTCCTGAGCCAACCGTGCACCTTCTATAGGATGACAGCTTCTTTTCATGTATCTTCTTATTCACGTTACTTGCCAGGAGTCCCACAGCTAGGAAGTACTGAGCCAGTAATGAAACCCCAAGCCAGTCCCAGATTTATCCTGCGACACCAGCTATCCCTCCAGTAATGACCGCTGAATCAGGAAAAGTCTCTTTGTAGGCTCAGTGCAAATCACAAATCTATGCACGTTTCCTGCTACCCAGGCGAATAAGAGCCTGAATCTGAGACTTCATTGGACCATCACAGTAACAACAGAGGAGAAACTGGGGAAATGCCTTCCTGGAGCTTAGGAATACCAGAGACATCGTGTAATATTGGTGTCCACAAACACGTGCCTCTCTTGGCAAACTTCTAGAAATGAAATGTGGCACGGGGAATGGGGTCTACCCATGTGCTTCCAGCCTCTGTCTATTCAGAGCTTTCTTCAAATTCTAAAAGGGGTCCCGGAGGATTTGTGCTGTTCGGAATGTCTGAGATGTTTTCCCACGGCCAAACACTATGCTTACCAGCTTGTTCGGGTACCTAAGGAGGATCGGCTGCACGGGAACCCCTGGAATGAAGGCCCCTAAAACCACATTGAGACATTACATCTTCATATATGACATGAGGATTACCATAAAAAGAATTAATAATAAACGGTACACATATACTTTACTGCTTTAAGAATACACACAAACTGTGAAATGTTGGTAGAATCCCTAGTGCTTTACCAAAATGAGAGAGTTCAAAAATTCAGAATTAGGAAACCAAGATATTAAATGTTATGCCCAAGTCACTGAAAAGATTTATTTACATCCCCACATGTTTTCATTTGCTAAATACTTATTATACAACAGGATTAAAAAAATAAAAATAACGGCCAAGTCAAGACAAAGAGAAAATGGGGAGAAGAAAATCTAAATCAAAGCAAATACTTGTAGCAAGAACGAGCCCCACTTGCTAGAAGTGAGTTCTAACTTGGGCTCTGAGCATTCCAGCAGCCAATGCAAACACATGTTAAAGTATTATCAGTTACTATGAAATTACGTATGAAATTATACATCTCTATGAAATCTATGACTTTATAATATTAAAAAAAAAGAGTGAAGTGTAGAAGGCATCTGAAGGCATTATAATGATCACTTGTTTTCTATTAGAAAACACAGGACCTGGGGTGTCTGTGAGGGTAGCCTTGAAGGAAAAGAAAAATCTGCCAGTGGTTTCTGCGTGTGCATGGATATGTGTGTGCATGTGTGTGCGTGTGCATGCACACACACACGCGCGTGCACACACACACACACACACAACTATCCAAGGAAGAAGGGGTTGTGATACCAAAAGAGAAAGTAAAGGAGTTCTGCAGATTCACTGTGTTAAAAACTTTTTATCGGAAAAGAAACGCCCAGAACAAACTAACAGATTGTTTTGTGTATTAGTATCAAATCATTTGAGAAATCTTCCATAGTTTGTTATAGTACATAATTTAATTGATCTCACCTGGTTTAAAAGTAATCAAACAGGAACGATTAGTACAAGTACCTTCTGGGAAAACTAGTATCTTGGGAGAAAAGGAATACGTAGATTTAATATTTCAGTCCAACGAATTGGTTACCTCTTTACTCAGTTTCTTACAACTTCACAAATAGCTGCCAATTCTTAGAAGACGAAAATGAAATAAAAGGCTAACACTTGATTCTACCGAAAACTAGAATCAGATTATTCGGTTTTCCTCTAAAAGAACTGTCGTCTGACCATTAAGGTAATTAGAAAACGGATTAAAGCTTTGAATAGAAAATACACTTAGCAAATGTTTCTTAATGATGATGCTAATGATCTGAAATAAACTTAAAAGAAGATATAGACCCTGAGACCTGGTCAAAGAGCACATTAGATTCTTTCCTCTACTGCTATACATCCTTAACCAAAGCGTTCCTACTTCCTTGTTTCTGTTTTCCCTGTTAAATGATATTCACTCCTACAACACATAGTTTAGGGATATACGGAGGAAGCAAAAAGGAGGAAATACTTGCAGTATGCTTTATGCTCCCTTGAATTAGTAGACATATGGAATACAGTTTAGTATCTTGTTTGAGAAAGTGTTTTTAGCATTTAACATAGGCTTGTGTTCTTCAAGTGAAAGACACAGAGCACAGTTAGTTTCCCCATGAATGGAACAGGCTGGATTTGCTAAGGATTTCAGGATTTGGCAACGAGTAAATTGCCAAGTACATAAAATAACAAAAAAGAAAAATCCTGCACCCACAGCAGTTAGTATGTGTACTTAGTTAGTATTTGTATCGTTTAATAATTAGAAAGGGAAAACTTAATCAGCCTAATGTGCCACAATGACAGGCTATTTATAAAATAAAGATTGTAAGTGTGTGCAATTTCATCCCCCAATTTAAAAACAAAACAAAACAAAAAACAAAACAGGTTTCCTTTACAACAAGATACACTATCAAACATGGCTCATTCAACGGAAATTCTACAGCTACTCCATTAACAATGAACGGATATAGAGTAAATCATAAAATCTCAGATCTGGAAGGGGCATTAAAAGCCATATAGCCTTTCCAGTGCTTGAATTCTTTCTACAACACTCCCCTCCCCCCGCTCAAGTTGTTGCTTAGCCAGTGCCTGAAAATTCTAGAAAAGGATTTCAGATCAGATCATTCTGTCTCTGGACAGAAAGTTCCTTGAGGTGGGTGAAATGAGCTGAAATCTTACCTATTTGTTAACTTTTGCCCACAATCCTAGATATAGTCGTTGGATCCAAAGAGAAAAGTCAAACCCTTATTCCAAGTGTCACTTCTTCCTGGTCACTTTTTAAATCATTCCTCACATCCCTGGGTTTCTGAAACCTCCTGCTGGGTGATACTCCTCTTGGTATTATAACATCTACGCATCATCATGGGTGGCCAGATCACAGGGCCAAGATAGAGCAATACTTATCAGAATTATCCAGTAACTGTTGCCCCTCCCCTTACCTTCCAAAGGCATTCCAGGGGTTGGAGGTAGTGAGATGGGAGAGTCTGGAAAAGTTCTATAGGTGATTCCTTATATACCCCTTGATCTGAAAAGCTCTGTCTAAATATACTTTGGATAAGACCAAGATCATAATCCCTTTTTTTCCCCCCAATAAACGTACCATACTGTTGACTATAATTGAGCTTTGATAGGCTGTCTTTAAGATTATAAATAAATTCAGAGAATGTATTTTTTTATGACACAAAGTAAAAATTGGTTCAAAGAGGCTGGAGAATAAGAAAGAATGATACATTTAATCCCACGGGATATCTCCTGGGGAAGAAGACTTCTGAATACTCACTCATTTATTCTGCTTCTATTATGCTGAAGACACCTAGCATAGGTGTCCCCAGATACTGCCATCTGTGGAGCCAAACGATTTCCAAGTACACAAACAAGAAACAAACTCACAGTATTCTAAATGAACGTCCCCTGTGTTTTACCTGCGGCCACTGTCCTCCTGATGTTGCTCGCCTTATTATTTCATTTATTGTGTTTTTTCGAGAATCCGGATCTACACGGGACACCAGCACTGGCTGCACAGCTCGTAAAAGTCCTTGAAAACAAACAAAAGGTCACAACTGAGTCTTTTTTTTTTTTTTTTTTTGGCTAAAGCTATCACAGCAATGATACTGTATGAATCATAAAACAAGTGTTATATAAAATTAAAATACAGCAAATCAAAGAGAACTTTTAAAAAAAACCCTCCAATTTTGGGCGCCTGGGTGGCGCAGTCGGTTAAGCGTCCGACTTCAGCCAGGTCACGATCTCGCGGTCCGTGAGTTCGAGCCCCGCGTCAGGCTCTGGGCTGATGGCTCAGAGCCTGGAGCCTGTTTCTGATTCTGTGTCTCCCTCTCTCTCTGCCCCTCCCCCGTTCATGCTCTGTCTCTCTCTATCCCAAAAATCAATAAACGTTGAAAAAAAAAAATTAAAAAAAAAAAAAAAAACCCTCCAATTTAAAGTTTATAAGAATTTAGCTTCCAGAGGCGCCTGGGTGGCTCAGTCAGTTAAGCGTCAGACTTCGGCTCAGGTCATGATCTCACAGCTTGTAGGTTTGAGCCCCGCATCAGGCTCTGTGCTGACAGCTCGGAGCCTGGAGCCTGCTTTGGATTATGTGTCTCCCTCTCTCTTTGCTCCTACCCACTCACACTCTGTCTCTCTGTCTCTCTCTCAAAAATAAATAAACATTAAACAAATTTTGAAAAAAAAAAAAGAAAACTGATTATGTGAATTCACAGTACATACGAATAAGGGGCAATTATTAATTTTACTAAAATTTTCAGCACGACAGTCTTCTGAGTAGGTAGCTTCCTCAGGCATGCAAAATAAGCCTCAATTTGCCAAAATTCCATTGCTAAACAGCTTTCCAGGAAAATGCCATATGATACAAAGCACTGCGGCTACACTGAGGAAAAAAAAAAGAATGAGCGAAAGAAAGAGAGACAGAGAGAATTTTTCTGAGCTGAATGACAAAGCTGAGGACACGACTGTTTCTCCAAAGCGCCAAGGCAACCTCAGGCAACCTCCGGCAACCTCCACACCCACTCTGTCACCACTTGCGGCTTGCAATAACCTTGGGGCAACCGGGGACCAGTCACTTAGAGACTCACACCCTAGGGAGAGACCATAGCACCTGGTGGGATAAGCATTTCATTTGCTTATTGTTCTACATCATAATTTTCAAAGAGTTTCAGGTCCCTCATGGAGATTCTGGGGCAATAATAAGAAAACAGAGTTAAGAGGAAAGACTCCGTGTGAGGGTGAGCTTAATACTCTCAAGAGAAATTCGTGAAATAGCACGTAACACAGTGTTTTCACCAGTTCTCTGGTTCAATTCTCCCTCCAGAAAATCAAGCATGTTTGGTACTTGAAACTCGGTCTTTCTAGCTATATAAAAACAAAAGGAGGGGCGCCTGGGTGGCTCAGTCGGTTAAGCGTCCGACTTCAGCCAGGTCACGATCTCACGGTCCGTGAGTTCGAGCCCT